GTATGTCTAAAAGTTCGTAAGTTGAAAGTTCGTAAGTAGAAGAGTGTCTGTACATATTAATAACACCACCAGCATTACCCATGTTATTATTGCAGTGAAATTGTCAACTGGCAGCCCCAGAAGCTACAGAAGTTTCCCATGCCTGCATGAGGCTCAGGTGGCCTTAGATAATCAGCTTCGTTTTTAGTGGGGATCAAGGACAGCGTCGCTTTCGACCTTTAAAGCTTTCGCCCAAAATAAACTCACAAGAGCACAAGAGCAAAACTGGAAGTGTTCCTTGGAGAAAAGTAAACACAGGCCCTCCTTGCATCATGTAACCGGGCCAAAGAACAAATTCACTGGGATTCCTGGCAAGGACAGGCTGGCGGACGAGGTCCTTCCCACACGGCAGCCGGTTGGAGTCAATGTGTCGAGTAACTTGCCTTTAGGGAATTTCTCCCAGTCATTAGCCACACTAATCATTTACTGTACACTCCAAGCCTGCAAGATCACCTGAAAAGCCCTGATCTGGGATTTATTGGGGCATTTCCATGGAAACGCCACATCAGATAAAGTAACTGCATTTTATAAACAGCTAACCGAAAGAAAGAGGAATTAGAAAAAAAAGATTCCAGCTCAGAAAAGATACTTTAACACAGAACTAGGCTCTGGTATTGCTTCTCGCTGAAACTTAGGAATTTAATCATTTTACATCTTGTGCTTGTGTTCAGGGGTAAACAGCTGCATACAGCGGAAGATAAGAAACAGGCCTGCACACCAGCAAGCCCCAAAGTGCAGGCCTACAGGAACGGGCCTGCTATCCGCAGCCAAAGGCAGATCAGCGGCAGGCTGGTTCCCATCACTCTGGGCCAATGGACAGAGGGGTTTCTGAGAGTCTTTAGAAAGTTCTTTGGTAGTTGATACTGTACTCACTGCAGTGGCGACGAAGAAACTGGCTTCTCATCTCTGTATGCTGCAGGTGATCAGTCGGCGGAAGGAAGAACGGAAGTTCTGTTCCGTCAGGCCTGAACAGTCAGACACCAGATATCCTAGAACCCGGCGCTTAGTCTCAAAGTAATGATACACATGGAAACTTTCTGAGCACTGCGGCCGCGAAATTTTGCTGACCAGTGTGGCTCAGGCACTTTTCAACTGATATTAGGCTACAATTTTCTATTAGAAAACCTACGATCGGCAGTGGGTGTCTCATGCAGCATACAGAGATGATCACCCAGATCCAGACGAATTGCCCATTGTCTCACCTGGTTGGCAGTTGCCGGGAAACATTGCTCAAATAGTTGCTCAGTGTATCTTTACCTTTAGTCTCTCGGTTTCAGTTCAGCTTCCCGTCAGTCTGTGCAATATCGTTCTATCACATCACATCCAGTTTCAGCTCAAAGAAAGACCTGAAAGCTGCAATTCTTAATATGCTGCGTTATTCTCACAATTCTGACTGTTAAGCATGATTTGGGGCCGAGTCTAAAGAGCACAGCTGCGCAGAGTCTGCAGCTGGCGTCGCACCGAACAACAAGCAACTTGATCATTTGAGGAGGATGTGATAATAAGCCCCTATCAATTTATCAGATGACGAAACCCCACGTTTGTTCTCATTTCGGGGAGAGGTGCACATCCAGTGGTGGAAGCTGATAAATGCCGCTCTGTTCACACACCACCACCCCCCCATCCCAGACCTTTGGACCCCAGAACATCCTCTTGTTTTGAAACAAAAGGTCCCATTAATGTCGCAAAGAGGGTTCTTTTTTTTTGCACTGTCCCATCTAGATGAAGGGAGGCACTGACAGACGAGCAAAGCTCACGCAGTTCTTTTGATAGCAACGGATGTGCTGCAGGTTGAAAATAAAATTGGAGAAAAAAAAAAAAACTGGAAACACAAACTGGGACTACTTCTACACACTGTCACCAACTGGACCGACACTAGGCCAAGAACCAAAGACACGGGCTACATTCAGTCATTCATAGCATGGGGTTCTAAAGTCGAACCAAACTATGAAACCATCTGGGTTAAATCTAGATGGATGCAAGATTCAGTGGTTCTCAGAAAATGAGGAAGCTGGCTAAACTATAAAAGTGAAAAAATAAAAGTGGATTTCATTTTCTAAACGGCCAACTTTCTCTACTGCTACAAATAACCCAAATCACATTCACTATAAGCAGGCGATGAATGGAATCGTGATATTTAACAAGAAAGTGCTAAAATATCCCATGGCTGTCTTTTGGTGTTATGGCCCGCCGTACAGCAGTTGCCCATAGAGGGTGTATTACCCAAGACCCTCGGCAACCCCCAGACCCAAGAAGGTGGGGTTTGACACCCTATAGTGCAGTGTTTCTCAAACCAGTCCTCGGAGAAGGCGGCGGGGAGGGAGCAAAAATGTGGACTCTTCAGGGGTCCCCAAGGACCGGGTAGAGAAACACTGCTATAGTCCACCTTAAAGTACCCCCGGTCCCCCCCACCCCCACCGCAATGTCCAGCACACTGCATGCTCACCCTGAGAAAGACAGGCCCCGCTTTGATTTCCAGGCACGACAAAGGCAGCTTTCAGGCACGCTTTTCACTGCTCACAATGGAGACACTTGACACACTGAAGCTCCCAGCTTACATTCTCTACACCACAATAGCATCACCAAAGAAATGAAAGATGCCCTTTAAAAAATAAAAAATAAAAAAAAACACACCCCTTCTGCATTTCAGACTTATGAAATCCAGTCCAAGGTCTAAGACAACAGAAGCAGGCAGCTTCCTGGTCTCCTTAGGGGTGGGACCTCACCAGATAGGACCTCAAGATGGAAGTCAAACAGGGGTTCAACTCCATGAGAAATGCTGCCAAATGCAAGCACTCTTAGAATGGCTGTTGTTTCAGGCCTGAAAATTCTGTCTCTCCTTTACTTATACCTTCCCCCCCCCCTCCCAAACAAGCAAAAAGGTTTCTATGGCAACCATGCACAGGCATCCATGAATGGGCAGAGGATGTCTGGAGCAGTCCCTCTTGAGGAGGAAAAGAGTCTCACGCTTGGGACTTTTGTTGTGGCTGCTACAAAGCATTGTGTCAAGGTCATTCACCAGTCAGACCAGTGCTGAGTGGGAATTCAGCCCCGCACTTTAACAGAATGCTCACAATGAGGAAGCCAATAATGACACCTTCATACTTCAGCCTGAGGTTATCACTGGTCTTACTGTCGACTGGCTGTGAAGTGAGTGATTTTAATTATGGCTATTGCCATGGCAATATGATAATGTTCCCCAGTTCATAACAACAGAATCATGTTGGAGAAAGGCACTGAACACCATATTCTAAGAAGATGACACAGTATTATTCATAAAATACTTCCAGCAGCTACAATGCTAAAAATAGCTTAATTAGGATTAAAAAAAAAGATTGAATCACTTTATTGTGTGGGGGCAATGTGCAGCTCAGCAGGTTAGCATGCTGTGACTGATCGGAAGGTCACTGGCTCAAATCCCAAAGTCGGCAGAAGGATTCCACCATCGGGCCCTTGAATTGATTCCTTAACCTCCAATTGCTCCAGGGATTGTCTGGCGTCGCTTTGGATAAAAGCTCTCGCTAAATGAATGAAATGTAAATTACAACAATTAGGGGAAAAACCAATAGCATGTAATTGTTTGCTGCATAAACAATGGTGGGGTTGAGAAGGACTGATAGAAATTGAGCAGTAACTGGCCTAATTTTGTCCCTGAATTTTAAAGCGTATTATTAATAATCGATGAGGCCAGACAGAACTACCTGTAGCTCCAGGGAGAGAAGTGACCCACATCACCAAGCAAACTCACTGCAAAGGCCAAAAGACTGCAACCATCAAGTACAGCACAAAGCATTTGCCGCAACTAAAATTAAGATTGAGAGCAGATTGATTTTTTTTTTTCCCATGAAGCAACACTCGATTATAATGAGGCTAATAAAACAAATTTCAGTGTGAGAGGCTCTCTTGAAAAATACATTGCAAAAATAAGTATGTTGCCTTATAAACTTCTCAAAAACAGGTCTGGGGGGTCTAAATGTGGATACTAATGTGTCACTGAAGGTTCCTTAGAACATAAAGAAAGTACAGCACCAGATGCCAATCGTGCTTCTGGCCGGGATTACCCAACTCTCTATGGGACGACTGTCAATGGCCTTGCTGTCATTGATGCGTCACTGTCCATAGCAGAGGCAGGTTCATGCACGCACCAAAGACAGAATTAGCATTTGGTAAACCGTATGTAAACACCATATTCACTGCCACAATGTACACGCAAACAAACACACACAAATAACAGATTGATGCCTGTTAGTCAAACACCCACAAATTCAATTAATAAATAAGACACAGGAACAAGTGTGAAAAAATGTAGTTGATGCCAAATAAAAAAAAAAGGGGAAAAAAAACTTTAAAAACTCCTTTTAAAACTACGTAAGGTAAAGGTGTTAGGGAGTTTCCAGAAAAATTCCCAAAATGGAAAACTTACCCCCTGTGACTAACAAACAGAAAGAGTAAGTACCCAAAAGTACCCTGACTCACAATTTCTTGTGAACCATATGTTCATCAAACACCCCCACTCCCAGATTCCATCAGTAAGAACGATAAGCAACGACACCGATACTGAGTAACAATAACAAAAATAAGCATTTATAAAGTCATTGTAACTAAGGTATTGTTTGAACCCAATCCGCAAATCTTTACTATACTGTACCCATTCTAACACACATAAAATAATCTACCTCTGCTTATTCCCAAAGCCGAATGCCGTGGTAAAACGCTTTTCCGTGAATGAAATAAACTACTGTTTATTGTGATTTTTTGGTGCCCTCGTTCAGTGGGAGATACTCTCAGCATTAGAAAACCATCCTGCGCTGACATGTATTCAGACACGTTTGGTAAGATGCAAAAAGCATGAAAATTCGCAAGAAGTGTGAGAAATCTCCAGGGCGAGAAAAGCTTTGTATTTAAGTCGCTTAACCTGTAAATGCGGTTTATAGCAGTGGGAAAGGCGGGGGTTCGGACTGTCAAAAGTTGGCACGTGCCTAAGGGGCCAAAAGATTCACCCATGTGGCCAAGTTACCTTCATTATGATGGGAAACGCACCGCATAACTAACCACTTATTACCAGTTACACCAACTTGGATACTGCAAAAGCAGCGCCAAGTCCGTCCAACGCAACATGCCACATCAGCAAAGCCTGCCTTGTTACTTCACGGAGAACAGCAGACAATAAACCTCTAAAATCACAGAAATCGCCCACATTTATTAGTTTTAGGGACTCCAATGCCTTTATGCAGGACACTATCTAAACAAAGACACGGACGCAACCTGATTACACACGAAGATTGAAAAAAGTTTTCAATCCACGGCTATAAATAAAGAACAAAAGGCAGCGTTGTGTAAAGTAATTCCTCTTTTCGGCATCAAAACCTAAATAAGTTCCTTTCTGAGCTGATCGGAGTGGATCGGACGTACCTTTTATGCGATGTGGAGCTGAAACGGCGAGTCGAAGTCCGTCTGTCTCTGGGCGGCGGATCGTGTGAGAATGAAACGAAGTCCTGGGAAACTTTTGAGACTCCGCCATGTGGCAGCCACGCGTATTAAACGCTTTAAGCCCTTCGAGCGTCACAATGTGAGGGGAGGGGGGAATTTACACAAGTATTACTGCTCTGTGTGATAGTGTTGGGACATGGGCAAACTGGACTGGGTTTGCGCTACAGCAGTTCTGATCTGTCAGCGTTATCACAGAAAATATCCTTGAGTAGGAGGGTCAGTTTCTGCAATCAAGATAACCCAAGAATGATTATTATTAATCAGGGGTGTTAATTTTACAGTGTAAATAATGAAGCCAAAAAGGACAAAATAAATAACTTAATAAACAAAACTGGAAATGTCTCTTGGGTACCGTTTAAGCGTCGTTTAAAAACATTTCAAAATTTTTTTTTAAATAACGATTTCGTGTCTTAATCAGTTTGTGAGGGAGGCAAATGATAAATGCAGATAGGTTGTGATGGTTTTTACGAAATCACATACAACTCCAACCCCGATAGGCCTGACTCACCTGAACCCCCCCAGTTCAGACACTTTCATATAACCAACGACTGTATCGCAGACCGCGATAATGAAGCCTGTATTCATTTAGGCAGGTACGCGGCGGGTGGGGATAGACAGAGCAAAGGACGCCGTCCGTCTCATAAAGACCCCTTGTCCGGTGGGTAGCGTGTGCAGGCTTAATTATGGGGCCTGAGTTTGGGGGTTTCAACATAGCCAGATGGTGCTACAGGGAGAGGCTTCAGACAGAGGGAGGCACTGCTGGAGGTGGCCGCCACGGGGGCTCCTATTAAACTTGCCCCCCTTCCATATTTACGGAAGAGAACATGTGAAACACAGTCCCACATGCCCAAGTGACATTTCAAGCCTCTCAATGCACATATCCCACATATGGAACACGAGAGATATTAACTATACAGCAATGGGGGTTACTGGTAGGCATGCAAACGCATATTTCTGAGAGCCAGCTTTTTGTTTAAAGCAAAGTCAATAGTAACTGACATCTCAGCATCGTACAGTTATTTCCGTTTCCCTGCCCACTTTATAATTAAACCCCGTCCAGATAATTTGGTTGTAACTAGTAGGCAGACGAAAGTAAAGTTGGTAAACTGTGCCTCCTATAGGTAAGTATGAGAACTGCAGTCATTCCTCAACAGCTGATTCTCATCACAAAGAAAGCTTTTGGATTCCCAGACCATTCAAGGTCACAGACAAATACACCCTCAATTTGCTATGGGGCTACGTTTAGACTAGTTTAGTCTCCAGGAAAATCTGTAAAGAAACTGAGTGAACTGCACACCACACAACATAATTCAGGTGAACAACAAAATTAAAGGAAACAATTGGAAAAAAAAACATTTATTTCTATGGCACACATACACGAAATTCCATTTGGTTTTTCCAAAAGTAGATACAAGATGATCTTTGCATTTTTCTATCTATGAACCAGTATTTTTCTAGGCAAAATATGTACATACACACTTAAAAACCTATTTTCATAAAGCATTTTATACATACTCATTTCACCCAAACAAGTGACCGAGGACCCAGAGGGTAAACAGGTTGGTACCGGCTGTGGTGATTAAGTGGCTGTGCTATGTAGCAGTGCCATAAGCTTGCTTGGAAGTTGCAAGAACGATTGAGAAGTTTTTCCTCTTTTTTTTTTCCCTGTGGAGCCCATGAAAAGAGTTGGGGGGGGGGGCACAGAGACTCCCCAACAGAGAAATGAGAAAGTCAGCTGCTAGACACACAAGCATCTGTACTGCACTTAAACAGCACATGTCCTGGCTCTGCCCTTTTGAGCTCCTCTATGAGCAGAGCTACGGTCTACCTAAAAATGAACCTCGCTGTGCACAAACCTTTGCTTTTTTTGGTCTGTCTGAATGAGATCCAGAGACGCTGTGCGAGAGTACAGCTTTCCTAGAGCGCTCGGGTGGGCCGGAACACGCAAAGACAGAGAGCAGAGTTTTAATTACAAAGCAGTGAAGGAGACTGTTACTGTTTAGTACATGGAGTTCACCATTCTAAGCTCCATTCTGCACTGCACGAATGACGGCACATGTAGTGCAGCCAAGCCAGTCAGACGCTGTAGCTCATTCCATAATCCACAGAAAAATTTGAGCTCCGCTGCAGGCAGAAAATGTTTCAAGATTCAGGCAGACTTTCAAGTGAAAGGGGACCCAAAATAAAAAAGGTTTTCCATTATGCAGAACTTCTGAACATGACTGCTCTCAGTGACGGTTCCATAAAAATGCCTTTTGATACACCACACCTGAACACAGGCCAGTGGATAGACACCAAAAAAACCTTGCGGCTTGTATTTCAATTCATTCGTGTTGCCCTTTGGTCCTTCATCGCTGCTTAAACTTCATTTACAGCCAGACAGAGAAGCTGCTGCCTTTTGGAACGCGTTAGTCTCCTGGAGAAATGATTTGTTGGCAACTGGAGTTTAACCAAAAATTCCTGCCATTCCCCACCATCTACGTGCATCTGTGGTCTTGTCTAACCATCACTCACACCAAAGACAAAGACAAAGAACTTGAGTATAGGAATAAGCACATCATTTTGTGCCCAAACTGTCCCCAAAAGATTGCCTCTTTCCAACACGCCTTTCAAAAGCAGCCCGCAATCTAGTTCTACCAAGAGAAATGTGCTATTACACAATATTTGTTGCATGCTTTTTAATCAACAATGCAGTCCAACTCTTTAAAAACATCAAAGGCCACCAATGTAAATACAAACTGCAGGAAGGACACCATGAGAAGAGAAATCTACTGCCAGGTTAACAATTAGTTCAAGCAGTAGTGTACTGTACTACTTTTGTTCAACTTGAATTCAGCAAGTCACAAGTTTTTTTTTTCTTTTTTTGCTGCCACTCTAATAGAACCTAAAGCGACAAGGTAGTTGTTTACACCATAAAATACAACTATTGACCTAACCCCATGTTATCATCTGCGGTTTAAGGCAACACTATGGATATGTTTCAAAAGTCAGCTACATTACTCGAACAAAACGGTTAAGTTCAAAGTGCTACAGCAAACATGCTCTGTGTCACGGCCTAAAACTACAAGGACCAAGCATGTGCACCACGCCCACGCCCAACCATGCGGTCCATGACACGCTGGTGCCGGCTGCATGGAACGCATGGCTGTTGTAGGGAGCAATGCTTAATTTAGATGTGAAATGCAGCTTCTCGGAGCAAGAGCAACAGCATCTGAAATGTTGTCAACAACAGAAATGTGTTTTCAGCCCCGATTTACAAATTTTTCTCTGCAGGGTTCAAAGCAAAGGCAACTTCAAGCAGTTTAGTTTGCTTTGACAAAGCAGGTAGTCACAGCCAATCTGGAAGAGAGTCACAGAAACCATTCAGAACATGTGATCCTGTTTTCTAATTTCATAACAGGGGAACTTCAAGCCTTGCCTGTGAACACCCTAAGTAATGGCATTTTCATTCAACAATTAGATGTTTGCACTTAGTCTGCAATCAATGCAGGATCAAATTGGTTGAAACACTGAACTGTAAAAAGAGCATTTTTTTCTCTCCCCATGTAATTCAGCTTTGTTATATTTGGCTTTGCTTACCTACTGTCAGCCAATGGCAGGCTGCTCAGTGCATGCAAAACACCCACAAGTCCCATAGGGGCACTTATGTGCATTGGTTAGCGCAGATCCCCCGACCGCCTGGAAGAGCTACTTCAAACTCCCTGGTCGGATATGGCGCTCGGGATCGTCTCATGCTCGGAGTAAGAGTCAAATCAGGAACCCTGCAATCTAAGAATTGCTGATGGGAAAGATGGAGAAACACCACGCATTCTGTCCAGGCTGAAAGGTATGACAAGTAGAAAGATATCCGGTTCTGTCTCCATGGCTGCAAACCCATCTAGCAGGAGGGCCCTCTGGGATAACACACCACCAGCGAGTCTGTGTAGCAGCAGGCTACGCAGAATGGACACTTCCCCACCCTGCAGGTCTGCTGACACCTCTACCTATACATGAAATGCTATGGTACCGTGCCTCGCTGCTCTAGTTGTCTATATTCTATAGTCTATAATTGTCATGTGACTGGGGTTGAAAGGTGACACCATTCTATTTAAACTGCAACCCACTAAATAATTATAGGGGCTGCATCTCAGAATTGTTAGTCTGCCAATGACACATTCCTAAAAAAAATAATAAAGTGAAACCTCACATATTTACTAGACAAACTTGTTAGCCTTGTGAATGAAAGAGCTTTACTCACAGTGAGGCATTTCCAATGGACCTTATGTGCTGGACCCTGATTAATATAAACTGCTGTCTTAAAAGATTGTAGGAAGGCTTTGGAGGGGGGGGGTTGATTCCTCAAACCACATTGTATTCAGCCCAGAGCAATGGCACCCCACAGCTGAACAGCTAGCTCCCTGCCCCCTTGGAACACAAGGAAAGCCTCATATATCATATCTTCTTGGGACGCCGTCCCAGATGATAGTAGTAGCAGAGTGTGATGATGAGGAAGAGCACCCGACTGAGGAGGAGGAGGATGCCGGAATTGGATGCTGAGCCCATCTCGATGAAAGTCGCAGTCATTACTGCAGAGAGATGAGAGCATTTCAGGCGGCAGTCAGTGAACGTGCACTTAAAGATTATCACTCATACACAAATGGAACGTGGATTAAAATATGTACAATCAAAATAAGTTAATTCTTAATAGTTTAGTAAAAAATTGACACCCCCTCTTGGCGTTTCAGTTTACAGCACATGTAATGCTAAACGTTTGCCACTAGAGGGCAGCATCGTTCTAGAAGATCAGGACTAAAATGGGTATTCAATGCATTATGTGCAGGTGATGGGAAACAAGTTCTCATACCTAAAAACTGGACAGTGAAGTAGCAAGCTTCTGTCAGCAGTGTCCACTGGATAATGACCTTTTCTGCCGTGTACAGGCCATTCCACATGATTAGAGAGATACCTGTGAAGGAGAAGAAACAGTTCACTTCTCAAGGTTTTCAGTCACGCAGACTTTACAGGCAGAAATGCTGTGGGCAGCAGACAGTATAGCGGTTAAAGCAACGATTCTTCATCTAAGTGCTGCTAGTCCTAGAATGGGCCCGTCTGTTGCATGATTAAGCAAGATGCTCGTTTACCCTGCTGAAATATGCAGCCATATATACAGTGAAAGAAAGTGTTGACTGCACTCCGGAATGTGATCATTCTGATAATGTAACGCATTATCAGTAATACTTCCCCGTAGTTTTTAGTATTTGTATGCAGCACTTTTTACATTTACTTTGTAAATGAATGTTTTTTTGTTGCATGTGAAAAGCGTAACCGCTTTGCAATTTCGTTATCCGCGGTATAATGACAATAAAAGGCTTCTAATTCCAGTTCTAAAAGCAGCAACTCTCATTCGAGAATTAGGTCTGTCGATGTACTTCCTGTCCACTCTGTTCAGTTCTTAACATCCCAGAGCGTAGTCTATGAAAAACCTACAGAAAGCTACCGTGAAGAAGCTGGGCTGTTTGCAGTACAAGCTGCATGTTTTGTTCGCGGCAGATCGAAACGACAGGTCTGTCCTGTGTGGTTTTCAGCAGGATATAGTGCGGTGTCACCCAGAGGACACCCAAGGCCCCCGCATGCTGAGTGTGACCCTGCTCTGAAGCCCACATTTGAGAGTGTCAAATGTTTTCTGGTCTAAACCAATTCAACTATAATAAGTTCACATCTTCTGCTCGGGTCTCCATGACATGGAACAGAAGTAGGACAGATTGAAAAATTGGTAGGCAACCCTCAATCTCTTTCTTATAATGGTGGATCCCATCTCGAAGGACAGTTTAATGTATGATTAAACAGGGGAGTCGCATTCGGTGTTTTTAATCTCCAGGAATATTCTTCTCTGTACATTCTGCCTGTGGTCTTTTTATCTCGTCCATTTTCCACTGATTTTTTTCAGACAGTTCTGATTAAAAGCAGCAAACCTGTTTTGATCACCTAACGCACATATTTTGCCAACAGCCTTCACTAAGCTGGGTCAAAGGTGACACTGGGAATTCACGGTGTTGAAATATTAAATCAGTCATTAATATTGATGATTCACAATCATGCTGCTCTGTGAATCTGAGTTTGCATGCAACAGGAATGTTTCCAAACTGCCCTCACTTTCCAACTTCTTCCTGAAGAACTGCCACTGGTGATGGGATTGTGGGATTTAATATATCCATAGGAGGAACTTTTCAGTTTTGTGTAAAATGTTGGATGAAAATCTCATGTTTCTTAGCTGGTGAATAGCAATGAGTACATGAAGAACTGAGCAATGGCCTGACATGACCACAGCACCAGTGTGAGAGGAGAGGCGGCTTCCTTACTGAGGAGGGCTCCTCCGTAGAGGCGGATGGAGATGATGGAGCTGGAGAGCTCCTCTTCAAACACCATCTCCGACAGCTGGCCGGGGAACGCCAGAGCCTGCAGGAAAGCGAGAGCTTCAGATGTTTCCCGCAAGAACGCCTGTCCACTTCAGGCACTTCCAATTTGTGTTACAGACCGGCTGGAAGAGTCCTGATGCGTAGTAAGGTGACCTGAGGCTTCAATACACCTTCTGGCAAAGTCCACCAATTTCATTACATCCTGAGATGCGGCACAGCGGCACAGCGCCGAGGCAGAGCGCGCTGAAGGCGGGGAAACAGCCCTCATCTCTAATGCATTTCGTTTGTGCTCTGGGGCCGCCGGCTCTTCTAAAGCGGACGCCGTTCTGCAGATACGGGAACCTGTGGAGCGACTTTTCTCTTCTCTGAGACAGTAGGTCTGATACACAGTGTGCATTCTGTTAGCACAACGTTTTTGAATTCAGAACGCAATTATCTGAGAAATCTCTGAACCAGTTTGAGCGGCTCCGTGGGGGGGGGGGCTTCGTTAGAAGCATCTGGGCCTTATCTCTGGCTGCCCAACCACGGACAAGTTCTTACGTTGCTAAACTCTGCTACTTTTTTCTTGGGCACTGTGAGAGATGCCAGTCTAAAGCTCCCCCCGGCAAACCCACCCCCCACCTAAAGGCCGCTTCTACATGAAAGACGCCAGCACTGCGGCATATCGGTACTCACCATTAGCGCCATCACTGTGAACATGACGGCTGAAATGAGGATCCATACCCTGCAATGAAAGGTCGCTGTTACTCTCTCCCTACTCTGCAGCAGAGTAGGCTGAACACTTTGCCCCATGCAAGTTTCGCAGGTTTAATTTAAACTGGGGAAGAAGCTCCAGAATACTGGGAGCAAAAAAGATGGGGGGAGGCTTCCCCCCCCAAAAAAAATGACTCCCTAATGTTAGTTCATCCCCACAGTTCTGCCAGGAAACACTGAATACCACATATCCAGAACGGGTACCCATCAGATACGCCCTCACCCCATGCCCCCCCCTGCCCCCCCGCCCCATGCTCACCTGAGGCCCATCGGCTCCCGCACCGCAAATTTGATTTCGTTGCCAAGCATCTGGCTTATCTGCAAGAAAGGGGCGACATTTTGGAGCCATGTCAATGAACAGGGTGCTCCAGAGGTCAGGCACACTTCAGCCGAGCAATTATGGATGGCTTCCATGCTCCTGTCATGGACAGGTCATGGACACGTGTGGATATTTTGGTCACGTTGCCACTCTGAGGCACAAACAGATACCCGCCAGTCCATTCAGACCGCAGTCTAAAAACACGGAAGATCGAGGTTTGTTTTTAATTAGACCAAGTTAATTTTTATCGGAGATGATTCAGAGATTAACAGGAGACAGGCAATCAATCAAAACATTACATATTAATAAAGGTCTATATTTAGCTGGAAAAGCTGATTATAGATCACATGAGTGACACCCCTGTTAAAGCTTCTCCCCCATGTAATTTACCCATAAATGATTTAACCCTGAAGCACCCCCGTCAGGCTAGAGTCACCATCCGTGACATATTGGACCTACAACAGCTGTTAGCAGAAACCGTGCGGCACTTAATCTGAGCCAGGGAAACACTCAGCGAGGAACGTGGCGAGTGAGGAGACGACTGAGCCCAAGCTGCCCTATTAGCTATGAAATTGGAATCTCCCCCCCCCCCCACCAGAAAAAAAGCCTGGTGTCCCTGTCTATCCTGATGTCGCATCCCCTGTGGTTTTGTCACACACTCACAGAGACAGTGGAAGACAGAGGCGAGGGAAATGGCAATGTATAGCTTTACAGTGGCTGCGGCCCCCACTGCACGATGTACGGGGGTGTCAGCACTGGTGCCTGCAAACTCTGCATATTGAAGCCAGCATAACTCAGAATCAGCTTATTCATCAACACTGTGCATATACCGCAGCATATGCAGTGCATGCAGTGAGGACACGAAACATGCATGACACACAAAGGACAGGTGGACAATTGCGATGAGGTGGGAGCAACAAGTAGGATGGGGGAGACAGCAGTAAGGGGTTCCTCTGTGCAAATTAGAGTAATAGATGACAATATGTACAAAAGCAGTTGCGATAAAAATGAGAGAGTACTGCAGACTTACTGTACAGGTTTTTGTTTTATGACTATTACTATTACAGTGTGATAGTGCCAATGTTGTAGAAGATGGTGACTAACAAGCCTTGTAAAGAGGGCAGCCTGAGGAAGAAACTGTTTGGCATCTGGCTTATTCTGGTTCTCTGAAACCGGTAGCCTTCCTCAGAAATGAGTTCCTGGATGAAACAGTGATGTGAGTGGGCAGGGATCTCTGAGGATTCTTATTTGTTATTTTCTTGTCCTGCAATTGTGAAGATGTCCAGTGGAGGGCAAGATTCAGCCAATGACTGATGAAGCGAGGAGATGCAGGGCCAAACCGGACTCGCGTGGAGAACAGGAGGGTGCTTTTGGAGGTAAAACTGTACCCAAATGGGCTTGATATCCTTGAGTCTGGTAATCCTGAGGGAGCTGGAGATGGTTGTCCCCAGGAGCCATCCAGCCATCCAGCAGTGTTAAGCTCTAGAAGGTTCTTTGAACACCACAACACCATGCAATCCCCCTATCTCTGGTACATAGTCACATCTGTATTTGCGATGAGATCCAAAAGCGACATCATCTGCAAACTTTAACTGCTTTGTGGATGGATCAAGAAGGTTCAGCCAATGGTGTCCAATGAGAAGTGAAGAAGGAAAAGCACATAGCCCATTTGACACAGTGGATCCCGGCAGCCGCATTTACTGTTCTGTGATTGGCAGGAAGTTGCCAATACACTAATGGATGGGGGGTGTGCTAACATAGAATATTTGATGTGCAGGAGATTTGGTTGATATGTAGAAGATCTGAGCTAAAATCAACATCCGGAACCATCCCATATGTACCACAGCTGTCCAGATGTTCCTGTATACAGGGAAGGTCTGATGCGGAAACTGTAAAGAGTCAAGAAGTGAGTCACTTTTCAGATTGGGAAGAATCAGACAGGTGCCAGGGGGGATGGGAGTCACTGAGGCAAGATGCTTTGTCCTTTCTGGAAGCAGGAACAATGACAATTGTCTCGAAGCGGGACCCAAGCAGCTGTCAGACGGCCCGCTCTTTGTTAAACAGCGGGATGCTGATGTCGGCAGGAAAATGAGGGACATTCCAATTACACCAGTTCGAGATTTCTAAGTGGGCAAACAAATCCATAAACAGAAAACATTTCAGGTAAGAACATCTGATGATGATGACGAAGATGACTAATAATTAGTCAAAAATAATTAAAAAATAAAAATAAATTTAAAAATAATTTAAAAAAACAGAACCTTTATTATTATTTTGGTGCAAAAACTGGTCGCAGAGCACAAATTGAAGCTGCAAAAAAAAAAAGTTACATTTTACAGCAGCGAAATGATAACTTGTCTAAGATAACCTCTAAAGCTTCTGAGGGGGGTGGAACATTAAACAAAAAGCTCAGGCAATATCATCCCGCGAAACAAACTCTGTGTGGGGTCCTTTGCTGGCTTGGTCTCAGGGCCGAGGAGCAAATGAAACACTCCAGCCAGCCAGTACTCCTGGGGGCAGAAGCACTCGCGGCGCAACAAGGGCCAGACGGCAAAAAAAAAACGCTGCGTTTTCTCTGCAGCCGCTTCAGCCAAAGGGAGCCAGTTGGGCCCCATTTGCCAGGCCTGCTGCCGTCAATCTCACCCCGTGCCAATTAACTGGACAAAGCAAAACCTCCCCCCTTGGACTGCTTTTGCGGCAAGTCTATACGGAGGAGCTTATGTAATAGGCAGCCCCCGGTGCCTGTTTTCATTTCACAGGCTCGGTGAATCCTTCCAGCGGGCAGGAACGACACTCATATCCCAGGGCAATCTACCGCGAGACATGAGGATGCTGGGGGCTACCTGACTGCCCAAGCCGACAGCGAAAGAGGAAGAGCAGGATGCTCGCAATGTGGGGGCGGGGCCACGTGTGGCAGGCAGGACCTCCACACCAGACGCGCACCTTCTAAGCCATCGAGCTCCAACGGCGCATAGAGACAGCGCCCCCTACAGGGACGGGGCTACTGCTGAGCTTTGAAGCCCCATGAGCACCAAGATAGCACTAATACTGGTGTGGCCTACTTAAATCTGCAATACTGGTGTCAGCTGACTGGATCTTCTACCCACCCCCCCCAGACTCCGCACCGTGACATAATATTACAGCAGATTGTGACTGTAACCAATTCATTTTACACAAGACTCTGGCACGAGTGCAGCAGCTATCAATCAAAACTTTTTCCCCCTCTTCTAAAGTAACAGTAAATGGCTTAAATTTTATAAAATAATTGATTTATGACTTGGCTAGCAGACGAGGTTTAAGCGAACAATTTCAACATCGCGATGAAAATATTCTAACACATGGATGTGCCAACTATTATTATACAAACATTTATTTAATCTACCATACTAAAACTCTCATTCTGAAACATTTTCAGTGATGTTTAGGAATTTGTAGGCGTTGCCTTAAGACGTCCCCAGAGGCCTTGGAGTAACATAATTAAGAAATGTGTCCTTTTGGTTACGATCAGCATCAAAGAGCCCCTAAATTTAAAAGTCCGCCTTTTATAAAACATTGACACACACCACTGTTCAGTGTCCTGGGTACCACCTGCTCACTTCTCAGCCTCAGTGAGTCAAAACCGTGTTCGGCAGGCAGCAGCAGTAGTGAAAATAGCACACGTGCCGCCCTCTCTGCAGCACAACCTCTGCAGTGCGTGTATGAAAATCACAACCACGGCTATATAAATGATTCTAAAATAAGGGGCTTGTCAAAGTGACCCAGAATGTGTGACCCGCAGCTAGGCGCCGGTTTCTAGTGACCATCTAGTCGGTGATACTGCGGACGCCGGGCCGTCTGGGTGCCCCGTCTGGGTGGAAACGGACCGCTGAGGCTCTGAAGTGGCCTGAGCCATGGGGCCTTCAGGATGGTGGGAACGCTTAAGGACTATTCCACGTTAGAGTGGAAGATAACAGCCGCTTAATGGTTGTAATGGGGAGATAATGGGGTTTCCCAGGATGCCAGAGTCTCCAGGGCCTTGGGACTGGATGCAAGACTGTTCTGGAAAAAAAAAAACAGGTCCATAGCCCCCCCATGACATTTTCATCTATCCCGCTGGACAGATCCGTCCCGCTGAAACAACTTGACCCAAGAGGTCGTAAGACAGCGGAGCGCCTAAGTGGCGCAGATGTGCCGGGCCTTTGATGCACTGCCTGGGCTGGTCCCTTCCATCACTTCGCTTGACTCCCCTCCTACAACAGCAATTTGGTGCCAATTCCTTCTTGATCACTGGAAATACTCTGCCTGCAGCTAAGAAAACATCACAAAGACAGGGAGGATTGTAGGTGATGCTGACTGGGGAAACCTAAAAGTCTGTGATACACGTCACCCAGAAATCTCTCCCTCAGGAACAAAAGGCTTAGAGGCACATAGTAATATCTGGTTTCTAGGCAAAAGGCATGTGTTTGTGAGTTCGAATAAGAGCAAACTACAAAGGATTAGGGATTCTGCCAAAATCGTGCTCAGGTTCCCTGGTATTAGAGGACTAACAAACCTAACACCGCTTGCCTTCAGAATGCAGGGTTCTGTGATCTGTGCCACCAGACCAAGATAATCATCCATCTTGGCTGCACCAGTTCCTGATTATTTTTGGATTCTTGCCTTGCTGCACAGAGCAGAGATTCTAGTGGAATTCAGCTGCGTGGGACGCGGGAGCAGGACAGCCGCGTGAGAGACGAGCAGCTGAGTTATGGCGCCCAAAAGAAAGAGACGACCTTCGCTGCGTGTCACTGGAGAGAAACCTCGAGCCTTCATAAATAAAAGTTCAAGAGAAACATTCCCCATAAAATAGTCATGAACCTTCCTGCAGCCCCCCTCCCCACAGGTTTCAGAGAACTTCCACTCTCCTTCCCCCTTCAGTCAGGGACTGTTTCCTTGTTCCACGACAGGAAGAGCCAGGCAGCAGCCGGTGCGTGAAAAGCGGAACGACGCTCGACTTTCAGAGGATGCAGCCTGGCATTGTTTACAAATGCCCCTCCCAGCCCGTCAACCACAGCCCAGCAAACTGCCCCCCACTTGTGTTGCCCCGCTCGCGTTCACATGAAGACCAAACCGAAAACAAAACATGTCTAACTTGTTCACCAGTGACATTATAGACTGTCCAGTCGTGTTGATATAAGTGGTGACACTGGTGTCAAGAGCAGCTGTGCTACATTCCCACTGGGATCCGCGACGTGGAGACCGGTCGTTCACCGCCATCGCACTTCCAGTCGAACGGAAGGCGGCGAGCATGAATTACGGCAGCGATTAGGGCCCCCGCCAAGATAAATGGCGTCTGAGGAGCAAACCGATGAACAACCGCAGGGCGGAACGGGTCACATGTCAGCGGCATTCCTGCCCTTTTCCTGTCAAAATGTTTATAAGACAGTGGGGGAAAACTGGAAGAGGAAGCAGCTCTTAGAAGCTTCTTGTCTGATTTGTTCTTCAGTGGAAAGGAATGAATGAAAAAAAATACACACTGAAGCCTGCAGGTCACTGGTGCGACTCTGTATATCACCCCCCATTCCACACAGATGAGATGCACCTCAGTACAAGGCAAGCACGTCTAATAATCTCTTCTGAAACCACGCTCTCAGCCAGTTTTGCTTGGGATGGATCACCTCTGCCCTCCCTATACTTCATATCACATACAGGCTGACATAAGCTAGTGTTTGGGTGCACTGCAGAGAGACAGCCTGACATAAGC